GGTCTCCTCCGTACGTCTCCTCTACAGGTCTCCTCCGTACGTCTCCTCTACAGGTCTCCTCCGTACGTCTCCTCTACAGGTCTCCTCCGTACGTCTCCTCTACAGGTCTCCTCCGTACGTCTCCTCTACAGGTCTCCTCCGTACGTCTCCTCTACAGGTCTCCTCCGTTACGTCCTCCTCCGTACGTCTCCTCTACAGGTCTCCTCCGTACGTCTCCTCTACAGGTCTCCTCCGTACGTCTCCTCTACAGGTCTCCTCCGTACGTCTCCTCTACAGGTCTCCTCCGTACGTCTCCTCTACAGTCTCCTCCGTACGTCTCTCTACAGGTCTCCTCCGTACGTCTCCTCTACAGGTCTCCTCCGTACGTCTCCCTCTACAGGTCTCCTCCGTACGTCTCCTCTACAGGTCTCCTCCATCTCCCTCTATAGGTCTCCTCTGTACATCTCCTCTATAGGTCTCCTCCATAGGTCTCCTCCATCTCCGTCTATATAGGTCTCCTCCATCTCCTCCATAGGTCTCCTCCATCTCCTCCATAGGTCTCCTCCATCTCCTCTATAGGTCTCCTCCATCTCCTCTATAGGTCTCCTCCATCTCCTCTATAGGTCTCCTCCATCTCCTCTACAGGTCTCTCCTCCAGGTCTCCTCCAGGTCTCTCCTCTATAGGTCTCCTCTGTACATCTCCTCTACAGGTCTCCTCCGTCTCCTCTATAGGTCTCCTCCGTCTCCTCTATAGGTCTCCTCCATCTCCTCTATAGGTCTCCTCCATCTCCTCTATAGGTCTCCTCCGTACATCTCCTCTACAGGTCTCCTCCGTCCCTCTCTCCTCTACAGGTCTCCTCCGTACATCTCCTCTACAGGTCTCCTCCGTCTCCTCTATAGGTCTCCTCCATCTCCTCTATAGGTCTCCTCCATCTCCTCTATAGGTCTCCTCCATCTCCTCTATAGGTCTCCTCCGTACATCTCCTCTATAGGTCTCCTCCTCCCCATCTCCTCTATAGGTCTCCTCTATATAGGTCTCCTCCATCTCCTCTATAGGTCTCCTCCGTACATCTCCTCTATAGGTCTCCTCCGTACATCTCCTCTATAGGTCTCCTCCATCTCCTCTATAGGTCTCCTCCGTCTACATCTCCTCTATAGGTCTCCTCCATCTCCTCTATAGGTCTCCTCCATCTCCTCTATAGGTCTCCTCCTCCATCTCCTCTATAGGTCTCCTCCGTACATCTCCTCTATAGGTCTCCTCCATCTCCTCTATAGGTCTCCTCCATCTCCTCTATAGGTCTCCTCCGTACGTCTCCTCTATAGGTCTCCTCCAATCTCCTCTATAGGTCTCCTCCACATCTCCTCTATAGGTCTCCGTCCTCTCCTCTATAGGTCTCCTCTCGTACATCTCCTCTATAGGTCTCCTCCATCTCCTCTATAGGTCTCCTCCACATCTCCTCTATAGGTCTCCTCCATCTCCTCTATAGGTCTCCTCCATCTCCTCTATAGGTCTCCTCCATCTCCTCTATAGGTCTCCTCCATCTCCTCTATAGGTCTCCTCCATCTCCTCTATAGGTCTCCTCCATCCCTACGGTCTCCTCTATAGGTCTCCTCCATCTCCTCTATAGGTCTCCTCCATCTCCTCTATAGGTCTCCTCCTCTACGTCTCCTCTATAGGTCTCCCATCCATCTCCTCTATAGGTCTCCTCCATCTCCTCTATAGGTCTCCTCCATCTCCTCTATAGGTCTCCTCCATCTCCTCTATAGGTCTCCTCCATCTCCTCTATAGGTCTCCTCCGTACGTCTCCTCTATAGGTCTCCTCCGTATCTCCTCTATAGGTCTCCTCCATCTCCTCTATAGGTCTCCTCCATCTCCTCTATAGGTCTCCTCCATCTCCTCTATAGGTCTCCTCCATCTCCTCTATAGGTCTCCTCCATCTCCTCTATAGGTCTCCTCCATCTCCTCTATAGGTCTCCTCCATCTCCTCTATAGGTCTCCTCCATCTCCTCTATAGGTCTCCTCCATCCCTCCTCCTCTCCTCTATAGGTCTCCTCCATCTCCTCTATAGGTCTCCTCCATCTCCTCTATAGGTCTCCTCCGTACATCTCCTCTATAGGTCTCCTCCGTACATCTCCTCTATAGGTCTCCTCCATCTCCTCTATAGGTCTCCTCCATCTCCTCTATAGGTCTCCTCCATCATCTCCTCTATAGGTCTCCTCCATCTCCTCTATAGGTCTCCTCCATCTCCTCTATAGGTCTCCTCCATCTCCTCTATAGGTCTCCTCCATCTCCTCTATAGGTCTCCTCCATACATCTCCTCTATAGGTCTCCTCCGTACGTCTCCTCTATAGGTCTCCTCCGTACTCTCCTCTATAGGTCTCCTCCGTACGTCTCCTCTATAGGTCTCCTCCGTACGTCTCCTCTACAGGTCTCCTCCGTTCGTCTCCTCTACAGGTCTCCTCCGTCGTCTCCTCTACAGGTCTCCTCCGTACGTCTCCTCTACAGGTCTCCTCCGTACGTCTCCTCTACAGGTCTCCTCCCTCTATAGGTCGTCTCCTCTATAGGTCTCCTCCGTACGTCTCCTCTATAGGTCTCCTCCGTATCTCCTCTACAGGTCTCCTCCGTACGTCTCCTCTATAGGTCTCCTCCGTACGTCTCCTCTATAGGTCTCCTCCATCTCCTCTATAGGTCTCCTCATCTCCTCTATAGGTCTCCTCCATAGGTCTCCTCCATCTCCTCTATAGGTCTCCTCCATCCATCTCCTATCCTCTTATAGGTCTCCTCCATCTCCTCTATAGGTCTCCTCCCTCTATCTCCTCTATAGGTCTCCTCCATCTCCTCTATAGGTCTCCTCCATCTCCTCTATAGGTCTCCTCCATCTCCTCTATAGGTCTCCTCCATCTCCTCTATAGGTCTCCTCCATCCTCCTCTATAGGTCTCCTCTCCTCTATAGGTCTCCTCCATCTCCTCTATAGGTCTCCCTCCGTCCATCTCCTCTATAGGTCTCCTCCGTACATCTCCTCTATCTCCTCCGTCTCTCTATAGGTCTCCTCCGTCTCCTCTATCCTCCTCTCCTATAGGTCTCCTCCATCTCCTCTATAGGTCTCCGTACCTCCGTACATCTCCTCTATAGGTCTCCTCCATCTCCTCTATAGGTCTCCTCCATCTCCTCTATAGGTCTCCTCCGTACTCCTCCATCTCCTCTATAGGTCTCCTCCATCTCCTCTATAGGTCTCCTCCGTACTCTCCTCTATAGGTCTCCTCCATCTCCTCTATAGGTCTCCTCCATCTCCTCTATAGGTCTCCTCCATAGGTCTCCTCCATCTCTCCTCTATAGGTCTCCTCCATCTCCTCTATAGGTCTCCTCCATAGGTCTCCTCCATCTCCTCTATAGGTCTCCTCCATCTCCTCTATAGGTCTCCTCCGTACATCTCCTCTATAGGTCTCCTCCTCCTATCTCCTCTATAGGTCTCCTCCATCTCCTCTATAGGTCTCCTCCATCTCCTCTATAGGTCTCCTCCATCTCCTCTATCTCCTCCTCTATAGGTCTCCTCCATCTCCTCTATAGGTCTCCTCCATCTCCTCTATAGGTCTCCTCCATCTCCTCTATAGGTCTCCTCCATCTCCTCTATAGGTCTCCTCCATCTCCTCTATAGGTCTCCTCCGTACATCTCCTCTATAGGTCTCATCTCCATCTCCTCTATAGGTCTCCTCTATAGTACATCTCCTCTATAGGTCTCCTCCATAGGTCTCCTCCATCTCCTCTATAGGTCTCCTCCATCTCCTCTATAGGTCTCCTCCATCTCCTCTATAGGTCTCCTCCATCTCCTCTATAGGTCTCCTCCATCTCCTCTATAGGTCTCCTCCATCTCCTCTATCTCCTCTAGGTCTCCTCCATCTCCTCTATAGGTCTCCTCCGTATCTCCTCTATAGGTCTCCTCCATCTCCTCTATAGGTCCTCCATCTCCTCTATAGGTCTCCTCCGTCCATCTCCTCTACAGGTCTCCTCCGTCCCTCTCTCCTCTCCTCCGTATTCGGTACAGGTCTCCTCCGTCCATCTCCTCTATAGGTCTCCTCCTCTCCTCTACAGGTCTCCTCCACGTATAGGTCTCCTCCGTACATCTCCTCTATAGGTCTCCTCCACATCTCCTCTATAGGTCTCCTCCATCTCCTCTATAGGTCTCCTCCGTACATCTCCTCTATAGGTCTCCTCCGTACATCTCCTCTATAGGTCTCCTCCATCTCCTCTATAGGTCTCCTCCGTACATCTCCTCTATAGGTCTCTCCTCCATAGGTCTCCTCTATAGGTCTCCTCCATCTCCTCTATAGGTCTCCTCCATCTCCTCTATAGGTCTCCTCCATCTCCTCTATAGGTCTCCTCCCTCTATAGGTCTCTCTCCTCTATAGGTCTCCTCCATCTCCTCTATAGGTCTCCTCCTCCCTCTATAGGTCTCCTCCACATCTCCTCTATAGGTCTCCTCCATCTCCTCTATAGGTCTCCTCCGTACATAGGTCTCCTCCATCTCTCTATAGGTCTCCTCCGTACATCTCCTCTATAGGTCTCCTCCGTACGTCTCCTCTATAGGTCTCCTCCGTACGTCTCCTCTATAGGTCTCCTCCATCTCCTCTATAGGTCTCCTCCATCTCCTCTATAGGTCTCCTCCATCTCCTCTATAGGTCTCCTCCATCTCCTCTATAGGTCTCCTCCATCTCCTCTATAGGTCTCCTCCGTCTCCTCTATAGGTCTCCTCCATCTCCTCTATAGGTCTCCTCCATCTCCTCTATAGGTCTCCTCCATATATCCCCTCGATTTGTCTCCTCCGTACATCTCCTGCATTTCCTATACATCAGACGACTCAGATGGTCGGTTGATCTCCAGCGAGTGATTGGCGATTTTCTGCTCCATCTGATGACATCACAGCGACGCGCACCATTCCTATGACAGGTGGTGATGGCGCCCCCAGGTGACAGGACTTGCAGGACCCCAAAGATGAGACAATATTATGTTAATGTCATTTACCGGTTTGGCTCCTCCCACTCTGTATGTCGCTGTCATCCTGCGTGGTGGGGGCGGGGCGTTCGCCCTGTTGCGTCATCTTCTTACTGAAGAATCAAAAGAAGGCGGAGTCAGTGTGATCACATGACCTCCCTATACTATTTTGTTGGTTGGCGTGTGTCAGCACTAAGTCAGGCCACACCCACCGCGGTCACATGGCGGCCTGCAATGATAGCTATAGATGATACCCTGAAGTGGGCGGAGCCATCACTATACATTATGTATATAGAGTAACTACTCACTTCAGAAGTAGGCCCCGCCCTACTATTGGGATTAGGAGCGTGCTATGGTGTGCGCTGTGTGTAGTATGACGGGGGAGGGGTCATTCTTCTGAGGGGCGGGGACTAGGAGCGTGCTATGGTGTGCGCTGTGTGTAGTATGATGGGGGAGGGGTCATTCTTCTGAGGGGCGGGGACTAGGAGCGTGCTATGGTGTGCGCTGTGTGTAGTATGACAGGGGAGGGGTCATTCTGAGGGGCGGGGATTAGGAGCGTGCTATGGTGTGCGCTGTGTGTAGTATGACGGGGGAGGGGTCATTCTACTGAGGGGAGGGGACTAGGAGCACGCTATGGTGTGCGCTGTGTGTAGTATGACGGGGGAGGGGTCATTCTTCTACTGTGGGGCGGGGACTAGGAGCGCGCTATGGTGTGCGCTGTGTGCAGTATGATGGGGGAGGGGTCATTCTGAGGGGCGGGGACTAGGAGCGCGCTATGGTGTGCGCTGTGTGCAGTATGATGGGGGAGGGGTCATTCTGAGGGGCGGGGACTAGGAGCGTGCTGTGTGCAGTATGACGGGGGAGGGGTCATTCTGAGGGGCGGGGATTAGGAGCGTGCTATGGTGTGCGCTGTGTGTAGTATGACGGGGGAGGGGGTCATTCTACTGAGGGGCGGGGACTAGGAGCACGCTATGGTGTGCGCTGTGTGTAGTATGACGGGGGAGGGGTCATTCTTCTACTGTGGGGCGGGGACTAGGAGCGCGCTATGGTGTGCGCTGTGTGCAGTATGATGGGGGAGGGGTCATTCTGAGGGGCGGGGACTAGGAGCGCGCTATGGTGTGCGCTGTGTGCAGTATGATGGGGGAGGGGTCATTCTGAGGGGCGGGGACTAGGTGCACGCTATGGTGTGCGCTGTGTGCAGTATGATGGGGGAGGGGTCATTCTGAGGGGCGGGGACTAGGAGCGTGCTGTGTGCAGTATGATGGGGGAGGGGTCATTCTGAGGGGCGGGGATTAGGAGCGTGCTATGGTGTGCGCTGTGTGTAGTATGACGGGGGAGGGGTCATTCTGAGGGGCGGGGATTAGGAGCGTGCTATGGTGTGCGCTGTGTGTAGTATGACGGGGGAGGGGTCATTCTACTGAGGGGCGGGGACTAGGAGCGTGCTGTGTGCAGTATGATGGGGGAGGGGGGGCGATTCCTTTTACCGGCGGGCCAGCTTTGCGTTCATCTCCTCCATCAATCCTCCTCCTCCCCCTCCCCCCACCGATGCTCCTCCACTGGTGCGGCTTGCTTCCGGCTTGGCTGGCCCCGCGCTCGCTGGCGAAGTCCCGCCCACTTCATCCTGCAGAACAGATGGAATTGGACAATCGGTCAGATATTGGGGGGCTTTCCTCCCCCGACACACCCAGGGAAATCCAATCGGATCGATGGCCAAAATTTGTGCTGAGAATTTACCGCCCGATCTGCAGCTCCCCGACCTCCATTGTTAGTAAATTGGGGGGAGGTAACAGCGGGGCGCAGATAACATACAGAGGATGGACAAGACCTCCAGCATACCCCTGGACCCCCCAATGACTATACCTGCCCCTCCCCCAATGACTATACCTGCCCCTCCCCCAATGACTATACCTGCCCCCTCCCCCAATGACTACACCTACCCCCACCCCCCAATGATTATACCTGCCCCCTCCCCCCCAATGACTACACCTGCCCCCTCCCCCCCCAATGACTACACCTGCCCCCTCCCCCCCCAATGAATACACCTACCCCTCCCCCCCAATGACTACACCTGCCCCCTCCCCCAATGACTACACCTGCCCCTCCCCCAATGATTACACCTGCCCCTCCCCCAATGATTACACCTGCCCCTCCCCCGCAGTACCTCACACTCACCTTTGCCACTTTTTTCAGCTTGGCTGCAGCCAGGGCCACCGCCAACCCGCCGCCTCCACCACCCCCGCCACCCCCGGGACCTCCACCAGAGGGTAGAGGAGGGGGAGGGGGAGGACCGCCCCCAGAAGGCATAGGGGGTGGACCTGGAGGACCCCCTGGAGGGGCGGGAGGACCCCCTGGAGGGGCGGGAGGACCCCCAGGAACCGGCGGTGGCCCCGGTGGAGGTGGTGGGCCAGGCGGAGCTGGAGGACCACTTGATGGTGGAGTAACCGGGGCAACTGGAAGGAGAAAGAGAGACGTCAGAGGATAGACATGACAGATCATTGTATAGAGGACAGTATCTGATGTGGAGGACGGACATGACAGATCATTGTATAGAGGACAGTATCTGATGTGGAGGACGGACATGACAGATCATTGTATAGAGGACAGTATCTGATGTGGAGGACGGACATGACAGATCATTGTATAGAGGACAGTATCTGATGTGGAGGACGGACATGACAGATCATTGTATAGAGGACAGTGTCTGATGTGGAGGACGGACATGACAGATCATTGTATAGAGGACAGTGTCTGATGTGGAGGACGGACATGACAGATCATTGTATAGAGGACAGTATCTGATGTGGAGGATGGACATGACACTATGTGATGAGTCTACGGGGGGGGGGGGGGGGTGTAGTGCCCCCTGCAGGTACAATATATACATGGAGATGATCGGCCTCCAGCCGGTGTTCTCTGCACACGTCGGGGTCTCACCTGGACTCTGGACCTTCGGTTCCGGTTCTGGAGGTCTGCGGACAGAAGACGTCACCAACAATTACAGATCACTCTCTGCGTCCCCCCCCCCCCCCCCCCCCCCCCCCAACGCCTGATCGGGCCCCACAAAGTACTGACCAATAGAATGCTGTGCCAGGGACCCAGACATTGTACTGGGGGGGGGATCCTGACATACTGGGGGGGCGGACCCAGACATTGTACTGGGGGGGACCCAGACATCGTACGGGGGGGGGGGGGGAGGGGGAACCCAGACATTGTACGGGGGGGGGGGGGGATCCTGACATACTGGGGGGGCGGACCCAGACATTGTACTGGGGGGGACCCAGACATCGTACGGGGGGGGGGGGGGGAACCCAGACATTGTACGGGGGGGGGGGGGGATCCTGACATACTGGGGGGGCGGGGTCCCAGACATTGTACTGGGGGGGACCACCAGACATCGTACGGGAGGGGGGGAACCCAGGGGAGACCCAGACATTGTATGGGGAGAGGGGGGGAACATTACCTCCTGGGGGGTTCCGGATCTTCTACTTTGGGTCCATTCATTGGAATCCAGCTGGCACCTGTGGGGGAGGAGGGATTATTATTACATGGAGTTTATATAGCAGCAAAGGGTTTGCTCAGCGCTGTACAATGAGGGGGGCAAATACATGGCCCAGTACAACAACAACAAACAACGTACGAGGGGGGGAGGGCCCTGATCCTGGGAGCTTACAATCTAGGAGGGAGGGGTGGTGGTACAGGAGGAGATAGCTGTGGGGGATGGAGTGGTAGGAGGAGTGGAGGAGATCGGCTGTTAGGTGGGGGTGGGGTAGGCTTCCCTGAAGAGATGGGTTTTCAGGGAGCGCCTGAATGTGAGGAGGGAAGGTGACAGTCTGATGGATTGGGGCAGTGAGTTCCAGAGGATGGGGGAGGACCTGGAGAAGTCCTGCAGTCGTGCGTGGGAGGAGGAGACCAGGGAGCAAGATAGAAGGTCCTGTGAGGAGCGAAGGGTACGGGTAGGGTGGTACTTGGTGATCAGGTTGGTGAGGTAGTTAGGGGCAGTGTTGTGAACGGCTTTGTAGGTCAGGGTGAGCAGTTTGAATTTAATGCGTTGGGCAATCGGGAGCCAGTGGAGGGAGAGGCAGAGGGGGGTGGAGCCAGTGGAGGGAGAGGCAGAGGGGGGTGGAGTCAGTGGAGGGAGAGCCAGAGGGGGGTGGCAGAGGTGGAGGGAGAGGCAGAGGGGGGTGGAGCCAGTGGAGGGAGAGGCAGAGGGGGGTGGAGCCAGTGGAGGGAGAGGCAGAGGGGGGTGGAGCCAGTGGAGGGAGAGGCAGAGGGGGGTGGAGTCAGTGGAGGGAGAGGCAGAAGGGGGTGGCAGAGGTGGAGGGAGAGGCAGAGGGGGGTGGAGCCAGTGGAGGGAGAGGCAGAGGGGGGTGGAGCCAGTGGAGGGAGAGGCAGAGGGGGTGGAGCCAGTGGCTCCCCCCCCCTCCCCCCCCCCCAGGGAGAGGCAGAGGGGGGTGGAGCCAGTGGAGGGAGAGGCAGAGGGGGTGGAGGCCAGTGGAGGGAGAGGCAGAGGGGGGGTGGAGCCAGTGGAGGGAGAGGCAGAGGGGGGTGGAGCCAGTGGAGGGAGAGGCAGAGGGGGGTGGAGCCCAGTGGAGGGAGAGGCAGAGGGGGTGGAGCCAGTGGAGGGAGAGGCAGAGGGGGGTGGAGCCAGTGGAGGGAGAGGCAGAGGGGGGTGGAGCCAGTGGAGGGAGAGGCAGAGGGGGGTGAGCCAGTGGAGGGAGAGGCAGAGGGGGGTGGAGCCAGTGGAGGGAGAGGCAGAGGGGGGTGGAGCCAGTGGAGGGAGAGGCAGAGGGGGTGGAGCCAGTGGAGGGAGAGGCAGAGGGGGGTGGAGCCAGTGGAGGGAGAGGCAGAGGGGGGTGGAGCCAGTGGAGGGAGAGGCAGAGGGGGGTGGAGTCAGTGGAGGGAGAGGCAGAGGGGGGTGGCAGAGGTGGAGGGAGAGGCAGAGGGGGGTGGAGCCAGTGGAGGGATAGGCAGAGGGGGGTGGAGCCAGTGGAGGGAGAGGCAGAGGGGGGTGGAGCCAGTGGAGGGAGAGGCAGAGGGGGGTGGAGCCAGTGGAGGGAGAGGCAGAGGGGGGTGGAGTCAGTGGAGGGAGAGGCAGAGGGGGGTGGAGTCAGTGGAGGGAGAGGCAGAGGGGGGTGGCAGAGGTGGAGGGAGAGGCAGAGGGGGGTGGAGCCAGTGGAGGGAGAGGCAGAGGGGGGTGGAGCCAGTGGAGGGAGAGGCAGAGGGGGGTGGAGCCAGTGGAGGGAGAGGCAGAGGGGGGTGGAGCCAGTGGAGGGAGAGGCAGAGGGGGGTGGAGCCAGTGGAGGGAGAGGCAGAGGGGGGGTGGAGCCAGTGGAGGGAGAGGCAGAGGGGGGTGGAGCCAGTGGAGGGAGAGGCAGAGGGGGGGAGCCAGTGGAGGGAGAGGCAGAGGGGGGGTGGAGCCAGTGGAGAGGGAGAGGCAGAGGGGGGTGGAGCCAGTGGAGGGATAGGCAGAGGGGGGTGGAGCCAGTGGAGGGATAGGCAGAGGGGGGTGGAGCCAGTGGAGGGAGAGGCAGAGGGGGGTGGAGCCAGTGGAGGGAGAGGCAGAGGGGGGTGGAGCCAGTGGAGGGAGAGGCAGAGGGGGGGTGGAGCCAGTGGAGGGAGAGGCAGAGGGGGTGGAGCCAGTGGAGGGAGAGGCAGAGGGGGGTGGCAGAGGTGGAGCGGGTGGTGAGGTGGATGAGTCTACCCCCTGAGTTCAGGATGGTCTGGAGCCGGGAGAGCCTGCACTGGGGTAGGCCGGTGAGGAGGGAGTTGCAGTAGTCCAGGCGTGATCAGGGAGTGATGAGTAGTTTTGGTGGTGTCTGGGGTAAGGAACGTACGTATCTTGGCGATGTTGCGGAGGCGGATCCTGCATGTGATGTAAGTGATTGGACATGAGGCAGGAAGGAGAGGTTCGAGTCCAGAATGACGCCAAGGACTTTGGCTTGCGGGCGGGAGTGATAGTGGAGTTGTTGGTGATGGATAGGATGGGGGGGGGGGGGTGTTGGCAAGGATGGGGGGTGAATGGGGTGCCCAGGGTGGTGATGGGCGGGCTCTCTGGGCACGGATTGGACGGAACCGCTCACCTGTCTCCAGAGCCTCCAGAGCCTGAGAAATTCCCGCGGCGAAGTGTGCCGCCTCCTCCTTGCTGCTGAAGTTCAGCCCCCAGACTTGCCGCGCGTCGCGCCATTGGTGGAAGTTGGGCGTGGCCTGATGGTACTTCAGTCCTCTAATCAGCGGGCAATTTATCATCACCACCTGCCCAGAGAAGAAGACATTACCCAGAATGCCCAGCAACACAGATCATGGTGGAATGGGGTACACGGAGTACGGGGCCCAGCAGGTCAGGGGCCCCATCATGCTGTACTGCCTGGAGCCCCACCTTCACCCCTCCCCCTCCTCTTCTGGGCCCGGAATGTTCCACAAGGACAGTGAGGGGAGTCCCCCTCCCCCGAGGACAGATTGGAGGGGATTCCAACACCAGGGGAGAGGAGTCTCCCCCCCCCCCCCCCCCCCCCCCCCGACACCCCCAGACCTGACCTGATGGAGGCACTCTTTTCCTTCATCTCCCCGCCCCCACCACCTGCATGGCGTTCTGGGAAATCCAACCCCCCCTCCCCCGAATGTCCTCTGGTCACCATAGTGGAGACAGTCTCCCGGTTCATGGAGGAGGAGCCCTGTATCTGCAACCCCGCCCCTGCCTAGCTAAGTCCCACCCCTGAGTAGCAGTGTGCCATCACTGACGTACTCTCCTCTGCTGGGATCAGCGGTCACTCTACAACCCCGCCTTACCCATAATAGCCCCTCCCTCTAAGCCCCCCCGCCCCTTATCAGAAACGAGTCACGGTTGGTGCCGTTATCAGCTCTCTCCACACCTCCCCCATCCAGGAGATTCCCACCTACCCCACTCCATGTCTGTTCCAGACTCCTCCCCCTCCACTTTGCCCTTCCCCCAGTTCATTATAACCCCCCCACTCTGTGCCCCCCTTTGTGGTTATATCCCCCTCCTCCATCTCCCCCATCATCACCCCCCCCACTCTGTCCCCCCCTGGTCCACATATATCCCCCTCACCCACCCTGCCTTTCCACCCCATATATAATCACCCCCCCTTTACTCTGCCGTCTCCCCCGATCCAGTATTACTCCCCCCCCACTCTGCAAAACCACCCCAGTCCATGTTCACCCCTCCCCCCACCCCTCATCCATTATCACCCCCCCCAGTCCATGTTCACCCCTCCCCCACCCCTCATCCATTATCACCCCCCAGTCCATGTTCACCCCTCCCCCACCCCTCATCCATTATCACCCCCCAGTCCATGTTCACCCCCCCTCCCCCACCCCTCATCCATTATCATCCCCCCCAGTCCATGTCCATACCCCACCTTTAGATTTCACCTGACCAAGACAATCTGCGTCCCCCTATAACATGATCTGATTGGCTGGTGATGACCCCGGGGTATTTGGCCACCAATTCCCCCCCCCCCCCCCCCCCCCCCATCAGACATGGTCGGGTGCTGAGCAATGCTGAGGTCCCGCAGTGGGGGGGGGGGGGGGGGGGAGCTGCTTCCTCCTAGAAGATAATATTAGCAGTGGAAGGTGAAAGGAGGAACCGGCACTTCCCTAATACAGGATTACCGCCCCCCCAGCAACCCCCCCCCCCCCCCCCCCCACACCGGAGAGAGCGACTTCCACCAACTTCCCTCCAACCAACCGCAGACTTCCATCTGATATCTCACCTCCAATCTGCCGTCCCACCATCAGTATATACAGGGTCCCTCTACTCCCGATACAACGTGTACCCCCCCCCCCCCCCCAAGGACACTATACCCCCCCCCCCCCCCAAGGACACTATACCCCCCAGAACACAATACCCCCCCAGGACACAAACTATAACCCCCCCAGAACACAAGCTATACCCCCCAGGACACACTATACCCCCCCAGGGCACAATCTATAAACCCCCCCCCAGGACACAAACTATACCCCCCCAGGACACTATACCCCCCAGGGCACAATCTATACCCCCCCAGGACACTATACCCCCCAGGGGCACAAACTATACCCCCCCCAGGGGCACAAACTATAAAATAAAAAAAAAAAAAAACCCCCCCCAGGGGCACAATCTATACCCCCCCCAGGGCACGCACAATACCCCCCCAGGACACTATACCCCCCCAGGGCACAATGTGTACCCCCTATAGGACCACCCCCCCATGAAACAAAATGTATACCCCCCCAGGACACTAATACCCCCCATAGGACCACCCCCCAGGACACAATCTATACCCCCCCAGGACACTATACCCCCCTAGGGCACAATCTATACCCCCAGGACACTATACCCCCCCAGGACACAAACTATACCCCCCCAGGACACTATACCCCCCGGACACAATCTATACCCTCCCCAGGACACAATCTGTACCCCCCCCCGGACACAATCTATACCCCCCCCAGGACACTATACCCCCCTCCCAGGACACAATCTATACCCCCCCCAGGACACTATAAAAAAAAACCCCCCCCCCAGGACACTATACCCCCCGGACACAATCTATACCCTCCCCAGGACACAATCTGTACCCCCCCCCGGACACAATCTATACCCCCCCAGGACACTATACCCCCCCCCAGGACACTATCTATACCCCCCCCCCCCAGGACACTATCTATACCCCCCCCCCCCCCCCCCCCCAGGACACTATCTATACCCCCCCCCCCCCCAGGACACTATCTATAATACCCCCCCCCCAGGACACTATCTATACCCCCCCCCCCCAGGACACTATCTATACCCCCCCCCCCCAGGACACTATCTATACCCCCCCCCCCCCCAGGACACTATCTATACCCCCCCCCCCCAGGACACTATCTATACCCCCCCCCCCCCAGGACACTATCTATACCCCCCCCCCCCCAGGACACTATCTATACCCCCCCCCCCCCAGGACACTATCTATACCCCCCCCCCCCCCCAGGACACTATCTATACCCCCCCCCCCCCCAGGACACTATCTATACCCCCCCCCCAGGACACTATCTATACCCCCCCCCCCAGGACACTATCTATACCCCCCCCCCCAGGACACTATCTATACCCCCCCCCCCCCAGGACACTATCTATACCCCCCCCCCCCCCAGGACACTATCTATACCCCCCTCCCCCAGGACACTATCTATACCCCCCCCCCCCAGGACACTATCTATACCCCCCCCCCCCAGGACACTATCTATACCCCCCCCCCCAGGACACTATCTATACCCCCCCCCCCAGGACACTATCTATACCCCCCCCCCCAGGACACTATCTATACCCCCCCCCCAGGACACTATCTATACCCCCCCCAGGACACTATACCCCCCAGGACACTATACCCCCCAGGACACAATCTATACCCCCCCCAGGACACAATCTATACCCCCCCCAGGACACTATACCCCCCCAAGGACACAATCTATACCCCCCATAGGACCACCCCCCCAGGACACAATCTATACCCCCCCAGGACACAATCTATACCCCCCCAGGACACAATCTATACCCCCCATAGGACCACCCCCCCCATGACACAATCTATACCCCCCCAGGACACAATGTGTACCCCCTATAGGACCACCCCCCCCAGGACACAACGTATACCCCCCCAGGACACAACGTATACCCCCCCAGGACACAATGTATACCCCCCCAGGATTCCACCAGGGGTTGTCCACAGCCCAGGATCCACAATGGCATGACTGGTATCTGTGGGTACAGGGGAGCAGACAACAGAAAACGTCACCCCACAAGGGGATAGAGGCACCCAACACTGGTCCATACAGGACTTACTGACACACGAGGTGCCTTTTCCCCGGGAACTCCAGAAGAACATTCTGTTCCTTTACATAGGGGTACAAAACCAAATTCCTTCTGTCCATGCACCCCCATCCTGCCATCCACCACTGGCGGTCCTTCAGCCAGACCCCCGAGATCCTCTGGGCTGCCATCAATTCTTACAGCCTCAGAGGACTCTGCCACAGGGGACAGGTGGACAATCGACTGAGGAGACCTCAGGTGGACAATCGACTGAGGAGACCTCAGGTGGACAATCGACTGAGGAGACCTCAGGTGGACAATCGACTGAGGAGACCTCAGGTGGACAATCGACTGAGGAGACCTCAGGTGGACAATCGACTGAGGAGACCTCAGGTGGACAATCGACTGAGGAGACCTCAGGTGGACAATCGACTGAGGAGACCTCAGGTGGACAATCGACTGAGGAGACCTCAGGTGGACAATAGACTGAGGAGACCTCAGGTGGACAATAGACTGAGGAGACCTCAGGTCCTCTTGGCCAGGTTCAGAGGAGTCTGACCTGAACTGATTAGTTCCTCTGTAGCGGTGGGCAGGGGCCAGTCTGAGGATGACTGGTGGGCGCTGAGGGTCCCCACTGCAACAGAGGGAAGGTCCGCCCTGCACACGTCATTACGTTCGTCATTACGTTCATCATCACATAAACCATTATCAGTTGCAGAGTCCTCTGGGACTTTAAACTCTTCTCCAGGCCTTGACCCCAGAGATCCACCAGAGCCAGGCCCTGGTACACAGTCCTTCACCCCCTGACCCTCCCCAGAATCCCCAGTGTTCATTGAGTCACTCAACAGTACATTACGTGAATCCGAGGCCTCGGGTGGAAATGTAGACTTCAGGGGTGTTGACTTAGACTGGTTCTGGGTTACCATCCACCCAAAGTCAGTACCCAACAGTATGTCCGTGGTATCTGCTCCGCCCACTTCTCTCACTTTGCTTCTGGATCCTCGGGGCCAAGCAACACAAGCTGTAGGTAGTACAGGGGTGACTCCTCCAACCCCTCTGATAACTGTAGCTTTCTTTGGGACCACATCCTCACGACTCCTCCATCCGGGAAGGGCTAGGACATCCTCGGGTCCCTTATCTCGGAGTCCAGCTGAAACATTGTTGCCTGCGGTGACTGGCTGCAGGCTGTCCACATGGCCTCCTTCATTAGTGGGATCTGCTCTGCCCACTTCTTCCACTTGACTTCCAGACTCCTGGCTCAAAGAAACACAAGCCACAGGCACAGCAGAGATGGCTCCTCCAACCCCTGTGCCAGCCATGGCTTCCACTGGGACCCCATCCTCACAGCTCCTCAATTCTGGACCAGCTAGGACCTTCTCTGATCCCGTACCTTGGAGTCCAACTGTAACGCTGTTACTTGTAGTAAATGGTGGCCGGTTATCTGCTCGGCCTCCTCCATTCTCTCCAACAAGAAACACAGTAGGGGGTACATTTTCCACTTCCACTGGTGGGCTGGATATCCTCAGGTTTGGGCCGTGAGTGATGTCCACTTGGTTACAGATAACACCCTTCCAGGTCTCCACAAACGTAGGTCTGGGCCTTGTAGTTCTTGATGCAGATGGAGGTAACAATGCATTCCCTGCTGGACTTGGACCCTCTCGGCTTTGTGCCTCCTCTCAGTTTGCTCCACCCACTGTTGGTGCTTTCTCTCAATTTGTAGTAACGCGGACATGAGCCGAAACTGCCCCTCGGGGTCATCACCTCCCAAAAGTTCTAGGTTTGTTCCCAGATCAAGGTTCTCTCTGTGTGCCGATCTCTTGTACCGAGCGGGTTTGAGAACAGAGTTACATCGATTCCCGCAGTCATCTGGAGTGGCACAGTCGCAGGGTTCCATCATTCCCGCAGTCATCTGCAGTGGCACAGTCGCAGGGTTCCATCGATTCCCGCAGTCATCTGGAGTGGCACAGTTGCAGGGTTCCATCAATTCCCGCAGTCATCTGGAGTGGCGCAGTTGCAGGGTTCCATCGATTCCCGCAGTCACCTGGAGTGGCGCAGTTGCAGGGTTCCATGGATTCCCGCAGTCATCTGCAGTGGCACAGTCGCAGGGTTCCATGGATTCCCGCAGTCATCTGGAGTGGCGCAGTTGCAGGGTTCCATCGATTCCCGCAGTCATCTGGAGTGGCACAGTTGCAGGGTTCCATCGATTCCCCGCAGTCATCTGGAGTGGCGCAGTTGCAGGGTTCCATGGATTCCCGCAGTCATCTGGAGTGGCGCAGTTGCAGGGTTCCATCGATTCCCCCGCAGTCATCTGGAGTGGCACAGTTGCAGGGTTCCATGGATTCCCGCAGTCATCTGGAGTGGCGCAGTTGCAGGGTTCCATGGATTCCCGCAGTCATCTGGAGTGGCACAGTTGCAGGGTTCCATTGATTCCTGCAGTCATCTGGAGTGGCACAGTTGCAGGGTTCCATCGATTCCCGCAGTCATCTGGAGTGGCACAGTTGGGGGGTTCCATGGATTCCCGCAGTCATCTGGAGTGGCGCAGTTGGGGGTCCATGGATTCCCGCAGTCATCTGGAGTGGCGCAGTTGGGGGGTTCCATGGATTCCCGCAGTCACCTGGAGTGGCGCAGTTGGGGGGTTCCATGGATTCCCGCAGTCACCTGGAGTGGCACAGTCGCAGGGTTCCATGGATTCCCGCAGTCATCTGGAGTGGCGCAGTCGCAGGGTTCCATGGATTCCCGCAGTCATCTGGAGTGGCACAGTTGGGGGGTTCCATGGATTCCCGCAGTCATCTGGAGTGGCGCAGTCGCAGGGTTCCACCGACATGGTGCTCCGTTCTATCTCCATCTCTATCAGAGCACCGCGGAGCTGGGACCTCGTCTGGCCAACTGTATTGATGTCCTTCAGATCACAGAGATCCATCACAGCCTCATCGGGTTGTCTCCGGTACCAGCGGATTAACTCGTCTTCCTGGGTTACCATCTTCACGTTTTGCCCAAATAAAAGATAGAAAAAGAAAAACAAAGAAGGGGGGAAGGGAGGAAGGAGGGGGAGAGGGGGGAGGGGGGGGGGGGGGAGGGGGGGGGGGGGGGGGAGGGGAGGAAGGAGGGGGGGGGGGGGAGAGGGGGGAGGGGGGGGGGGAGCAAATATCCAAGTATGTCTACTCCAAAACACAAATGACGCACTGAGTGATCTGTAGGTGTCACTTCTACGGAGCGTCCGACCTTCAGTACACGGGGTACATGACTAAGCCACTAATGTACTAAGCGGATCCCACCGCTGCCACCAATCTGTCACGTGTCCCCCACACGCCACGCCCACAGCGACTAGCTCACCGAGGTGCACACGTGCGGCCGCGACAGGGAGGTAACGAGGGAATAAAGGGGACTTCCACTTGAATATCTAACACCGTATGTAAGATCAGCCGTGATATCCTTCCACAGCCGCACTACCTCCGCCCACCACTGGGGGGAGACTCCACTCCAATCCAGCCGGCTGACCACACCCCGCACTACCTCTGCCCACCACCGGGGGGAGACTCCACTCCAATCCAGCCGGCTGACCACACCCCGCACTACCTCCGCCCACCACCGGGGGGAGACTCCACTCCAATCCAGAGGGCTGACCACACACTGCAGATACAAATCTTACATACAATCTGGTGCACGGATTAGAGGGGAGGAGCAGCTTAGTAATCACACCCTTCTAGGGCCCCTCCAGCTACCTACAGCTTGTACCCCGATGTTATCACACCCCTCCCCCACACACCCCTCCCCCCACACACCAGACACACCCCTCCCACACACACCCCTCCCCCCACCAGACACACCACAAAAGGTAGCCTGCCACCACCCAACAGTTTATCCGCTGAGACACCCCACACACACAGAGATCTCCATCTGGCAGATCTGTTACCTTTACAATCTGAATGCAATCTGCCCACACACAAGCAAGTCAGAGCGTCAGCAATCCGTTAGTCGATCGACCAGCTCCATACGAATCGCCATGTCCCAATGTCCCGGTACTCCATTTATGGGGATATGGATGTAGGCGGGACATTAGTCTTCGGCCCATTGACACTGGGAGCTGCTCCTGTACCCGCCCACAGGATGGTCTGGGTGCTGACCTGCCCAAGTTCAATCGGACCAAGACTGGCTTGAAGCACCAAGTCAGGGATTGGATTTCCGACACCAGCGCATCGGTCCGATCGCGACCGTACCAAAACACCATCCGACTGTCACCATCCGGCACCACCTAACCATTCCCTGCATTTTACCATTCTACCCAAGTCACAAATACGGTTTTTTTTATATGTCGGTGTGGCGCACAGAGTGCCCCATCAGAGGGAAGTATTCTCATCTCTCTGCAACTCATATTTCAGCTGTTATGAGGGAGGAAACATTTCCTTTGATCTGTGGATATATTTTAGAGCTCCCAATGTCAGGGAGACAACCCGTCTGCAGCCATTTCCTTCCAACAGGTTTCCCCAGAAGGTGACAACCTCTTATTAGCCCCCAGGGGTCACGTCCAGAGGAAGCCGGGCTTTTCCCATGTTAATTGGTGACCATTTGTGTCTCTGAGTCCCTCTGACTGAATATTTCCCCCAATGGCAAGGACTGGAACTACATCTACCATGACACATAGGGCACAATGACACCCCCCATTACACAATGTATACACCCCCCCGTATGGCACAATGTATACACCCCCCGTATGGCACAATGACACCCCCCATTACACCCCATACACCCCCCCCGTATGGCCGTATGGCACAATGTATACACCCCCCCCGTAGGGCACAATGTATACACCCCCCCCGTAGGGCACAATGTATACACCCCCCCCCGTATGGCACAATGTATACACCCCCCCCCGTATGGCACAATGTATACCCCCCGTAGGGTACAATGTATACACCCCCCCCCGTATGGCACAATGTATACACCCCCCGTAGGGCACAATGTATACCCCCCGTAGGGTACAATGTATACACCCCCCCCCCGTAGGGCACAATGACACCCCCCATGGCAAGGACTGGAACTACATCTACCATGACATGGTCATATCTACTCAAATCTGTACATGCATGTCACATGTACGTCACCCCCCCGTAGGGCACAATGACACCCCCCATTACACAATGTATACACCCCCCCCGTAGGGCACAATGTATACACCCCCCCCGTAGGGCACAATGTATACACCCCCCGTATGGCACAATGACACCCCCCATTACACAATGTATACACCCCCCCCCCCGTATGGCACAATGTATACCCCCCCCAGTATGGCACAATGTATACCCCCCCCAGTATGGCACAATGTATACCCCCCCCAGTATGGCACAATGTATACACCCCCCCCCCGTATGGCACAATGTATACACCCCCCCCGTATGGCACAATGTATACACCCCCCCCGTATGGCACAATGTATACCCCCCCCGTATGGCACAATGTATACCCCCCCCGTATGGCACAATGTATACACCCCCGTATGGCACAATGTATACCCCCCAGTATGGCACAATGTATACCCCCCATTACACAATGTATACCCCCCCGTATGGCACAATGTATACCCCCCCCGTATGGCACAATGTATACCCCCCCCGTATGGCACAATGTATACCCCCCATTACACAATGTATACCCCCCCGTATGGCACAATGTATACCCCCCCCCAGTATGGCACAATGTATACCCCCCCCCCAGTATGGCACAATTTCCCCCCCCCCCCCTGTATGGCACAATGTTGTACACCCCCCCTGCTTCTTCAATGAAACTGACAGACGGAAGCTGATTGGCTGCCATGTGCTCCCTCCAGGGTCAGTGAATCCCCCCATCACCCGGACCCCCCGTGTCTCCGCTGGACATACCTGCTGGTCCTGCAGCTTCCTCCCCACCACGCGGTACATGGGCGTGGCCGGATTGTGGAAGATCTGCACTCGGCTGTGCCCGGCGGGCCCCGTCCCGGCGTTCATCCACTTCTTACTGCCGTCATCGTAGATCATGACCGTGGCCCTGACCGTGATCACCGCCGCCTCCCTGGGGGAGAGAAGAGGGTGAGGGCCACACACTGCTGCAGCACCACGAGTGAGACCACCTTGGTGAGCCTGGGACAACCCACACCGACCCCCCGGGGACCACCAATCCCGAGTCAGGACGGGGATCACTCAGGGGTCAGGGATGGGGGTCACACAGAGACGGGGGTCACCCAGAGGTCAGGGATGGGGGTCACACAGAGACGGGGGGTCACCCAGAGGTCAGGGATGGGGGTCACACAGAGACGGGGTCACACAGACGGGGGTCACACAGAGACGGGGGTCACACAGAGGTCAGGGATGGGGGGGGTCACACAGAGACGGGGGTCACCCAGAGGTCAGGGATGGGTGTCACACAGGTCAGGGATGGGGGTCACACAGGTCAGGGATGGGGGTCACCCAGAGGTCAGGGATGGGTGTCACACAGGTCAGGGATGGGGGTCACCCAGAGGTCAGGGATGGGTGTCACACAGGTCAGGGATGGGGGTCACACAGAGACGGGGGTCACACAGAGGTCAGGGATGGGGGTCACACAGAGACGGGGGTCACCCAGAGGTCAGGGATGGGGGTCACACAGAGACGGGGGTCACACAAAGACGGGGGTCACCCAGAGGTCAGGGATGGGGGGGGGTCACACAGAGACGGGGGTCACCCAGAGGTCAGGGATGGGTGTCACACAGGTCAGGGATGGGGGTCACACAGAGACGGGGTCACACAGGGATTAGGGACAGGGGTCACATAGAGGTCAGAGACGGGGGTCACGCAGAGGTCAGGGATGAGGGTCCCGGATGGTGAGACACAGACAGATCACTATGACGGAGATGGTCAGAGAGGGATCACTATGATGGGGTTGGTCAGAGAGGGATCACTATGACGGAGATGGTCAGAGAGGGATCACTATGATGGGGTTGGTCAGAGAGGGATCACTATGACGGAGATGGTCAGAGAGGGATCACTATGATGGGGTTGGTCAGAGAGGGATCACTATGACGGGGTTGGTCAGAGAGGGATCACTATGACGGGGTTGGTCAGAGAGGGATCACTATGACGGGGTTGGTCAGAGAGGGATCACTATGACGGGGTTGGTCAGAGAGGGATCACTATGACGACGGGGTTGGTCAGAGAGGGATCACTATGACGACGGGGTTGGTCAGAGAGGGATCACTATGACGACGGGGTTGGTCAGAGAGGGATCACTATGACGACGGGGTTGGTCAGAGAGGGATCACTATGACGACGGGGTTGGTCAGAGAGGGGATCACTATGACGACGGGGTTGGTCAGAGAGGGATCACTATGATGACGGGGTTGGTCAGAGAGGGATCACTATGATGACGGGGTTGGTCAGAGAGGGATCACTATGATGACGGGGTTGGTCAGAGAGGGATCACTATGATGACGGGGTTGGTCAGGTCAGAGAGGGATCACTATGATGACGGGGTTGGTCAGAGAGGGATCACTATGATGACGGGGTTGGTCAGAGAGGGATCACTATGATGACGGGGTTGGTCAGAGAGGGATCACTATGATGACGGGGTTGGTCAGAGAGGGATCACTATGATGACGGGGTTGGTCAGAGAGGGATCACTATGATGACGGGGTTGGTCAGAGAGGGATCACTATGATGACGGGGTTGGTCAGAGAGGGATCACTATGATGACGGGGTTGGTCAGAGAGGGATCACTATGATGACGGGGTTGGTCAGAGAGGGATCACTATGATGACGGGGTTGGTCAGAGAGGGATCACTATGATGACGGGGTTGGTCAGAGAGGGATCACTATGATGACGGGGTTGGTCAGAGAGGGATCACTATGATGACGGGGTTGGTCAGAGAGGGATCACTATGATGACGGGGTTGGTCAGAGAGGGATCACTATGATGACGGGGTTGGTCAGAGAGGGATCACTATGATGACGGGGTTGGTCAGAGAGGGATCACTATGATGACGGGGTTGGTCAGAGAGGGATCACTATGATGACGGGGTTGGTCAGAGAGGGATCACTATGATGACGGGGTTGGTCAGAGAGGGATCACTATGATGACGGGGTTGGTCAGAGAGGGATCACTATGATGACGGGGGTTGGTCAGAGAGGGATCACTATGATGACGGGGTTGGTCAGAGAGGGATCACTATGATGACGGGGTTGGTCAGAGAGGGATCACTATGATGACGGGGTTGGTCAGAGAGGGATCACTATGATGACGGGGTTGGTCAGAGAGGGATCACTATGATGACGGGGTTGGTCAGAGAGGGATCACTATGATGACGGGGTTGGTCAGAGAGGGATCACTATGATGACGGGGTTGGTCAGAGAGGGATCACTATGATGACGGGGTTGGTCAGAGAGGGATCACTATGATGACGGGGTTGGTCAGAGAGGGATCACTATGACGGGGTTGGTCAGAGAGGGATCACTATGACGGGGTTGGTCAGAGAGGGATCACTATGACGGGGTTGGTCAGAGAGGGATCACTATGACGGGGTTGGTCAGAGAGGGATCACTATGACGGGGTTGGTCAGAGAGGGGGATCACTATGACGGGGTTGGTCAGAGAGGGATCACTATGACGGGGTTGGTCATAGAGGGATCACTATGACGGGGTTGGTCAGAGAGGGATCACTATGACGGGGTTGGTCAGAGAGGGATCACTATGATGACGGGGTTGGTCAGAGAGGGATCACTATGACGGGGTTGGTCAGAGAGGGATCACTATGACGGGGTTGGTCAGAGAGGGATCACTATGACGGGGTTGGTCAGAGAGGGATCACTATGACGGGGTTGGTCAGAGAGGGATCACTATGACGGGGTTGGTCAGAGAGGGATCACTATGACGGGGTTGGTCAGAGAGGGATCACTATGACGGGGTGGTCATGTGATGCTGTAGTGTATGGGGGTGAATGGAGGATCCGGTATTCGGTTTCCTGCAGATTATTGATCTCTATGAGGATTTCTGGCTGAATGACGTCATCCTGAGACTCTGAAGAGGAACCGAGGAAATGACTCCTCATAGGTGAGAGAAGAGCGGACAGAGATGGGGCCCCCCCAGCTGGGAGTACTCTCTGTGTATACGGTATATACTGTAGGGGTCCCGGGGTAGGTGGGGCCCCCCTGGCTGGGAGTACTCTCTGTGTATACGGTATATACTGTAGGGGTCCCGGGGTAGGTGGGGCCCCCCTGGCTGGGAGTACTCTCTGTGTATACGGTATATACTGTAGGGGTCCCGGGGTAGGTGGGGCCCCCCTGGCTGGGAGTACTCTCTGTGTATACGGTATATACTGTAGGGGTCCCGGGGTAGGTGGGGACCCCCCGGCTGGGAGTACTCCCCGTGTATACGGTATATACTGTAGGGGTCCCGGGGTAGGTGGGGACCCCCCGGCTGGGAGTACTCTCTGTGTATACGGTATATACTGTAGGGGTCCCGGGGTAGGTGGGGACCCCCCGGCTGGGAGTACTCCCCGTGTATACGGTATATACTGTAGGGGTCCCGGGGTAGGTGGGGACCCCCCGGCTGGGAGTACTCCCCGTGTATACGGTATATACTGTAGGGGTCCCGGGGTAGGTGGGGCCCCCCTGGCTGGGAGTACTCTCTGTGTATATGGTATATACTGTAGGGGTCCCGGGGTAGGTGGGGACCCCCCGGCTGGGAGTACTCTCCGTGTATACGGTATATACTGTAGGGGTCCCGGGGTAGGTGGGGATCCCCCGGCTGGGAGTACTCCCCGTGTATACGGTATATACTGTAGAGGTCCCGGGGTAGGTGGGGACCCCCCGGCTGGGAGTACTCCCCGTGTATACGGTATATACTGTAGGGGTCCCGGGGTAGGTGGGGACCCCCCCCCGGCTGGGAGTACTCCCCGTGTATACGGTATATACTGTAGGGGTCCCGGGGTAGGTGGGGACCCCCCGGCTGGGAGTACTCCCCGTGTATACGGTATATACTGTAGAGGTCCCGGGGTAGGTGGGGACCCCCCGGCTGGGAGTACTCCCCGTGTATACGGTATATACTGTAGGGGTCCCGGGGTAGGTGGGGACCCCCCGGCTGGGAGTACTCCCCGTGTATACGGTATATACTGTAGAGGTCCCGGGGTAGGTGGGGACCCCCGGCTGGGAGTACTCCCCATGTATACGGTATATACTGTAGAGGTCCCGGGGTAGGTGGGGACCCCCCCGGCTGGGAGTACTCCCCGTGTATACGGTATATACTGTAGGGGTCCCGGGGTAGGTGGGGATCCCCCGGCTGGGAGTACTCCCCGTATATACGGTATATACTGTAGAGGTCCCGGGGTAGGTGGGGCCCCCCCGGCTGGGAGTACTCTCTGTGTATACGGTATATACTGTAGAGGTCCCGGGGTAGGTGGGGACCCCCCGGCTGGGAGTACTCCCCGTGTATACGGTATATACTGTAGGGGTCCCGGGGTAGGTGGGGACCCCCCGGCTGGGAGTACTCCCCGTGTATACGGTATATACTGTAGAGGTCCCGGGGTAGGTGGGGACCCCCGGCTGGGAGTACTCCCCATGTATACGGTATATACTGTAGAGGTCCCGGGGTAGGTGGGGACCCCCTGGCTGGGAGTACTCTCCGTGTATACGGTATATACTGTAGGGGTCCCGGGGTAGGTGGGGACCCCCCCCGGCTGGGAGTACTCCCCGTGTATACGGTATATACTGTAGGGGTCCCGGGGTAGGTGGGGACCCCCCGGCTGGGAGTACTCTCTGTGTATACGGTATATACTGTAGGGGTCTCGGGGTAGGTGGGGACCCCCCGGCTGGGAGTACTCCCCGTGTATACAGTATATACTGTAGAGGTCCCGGGGTAGGTGGGGACCCCCCCGCTGGGAGTACTCCCCATGTATACGGTATATACTGTAGGGGTCCCGGGGTAGGTGGGGACCCCCCGGCTGGGAGTACTCCCCGTGTATACGGTATATACTGTAGGGGTCCCGGGGTAGGTGGGGACCCCCCGGCTGGGAGTACTCCCCGTGTATACGGTATATACTGTAGGG